GAAAACACACATGCTTTGAAGGTTGTATTTTCCTTGTGTATATTTTACTTGTGACATTCAAGCTAAAACGCATACCACTACATGCAACTTATCCATGACATTTGGATTAAATATAAACATGAGTGATTCATTAATCTTGGTGAAAATCCTTTTGTTAAACCATATAATCCCTAAGAGCATGATATTTACCTTAGGAGAGTATAATTCTCAATCACAAGAAGCACAACCAATTTTAACGTGACATTCGTTCAAAATTGCATCCGATAACTTTTCTAAGCATCCTAATGGTGATCAATCATCAAGACACATAGATAGTTTAATTCAGTGATTGAAAATATCAAAACAAGCATGTAACAACACTTAAGCAATTGAAAAATAAAACTACGTATTCATGTTGCGGCTCATGGCCTCACTCTAGCATAATAAATTAGTTACACATAATTATGTTCATACATAAGAAATTATCCATAAAAAAATAACAAGAAGGGAAACACCCGTTTTTGGTTTGCTCCTGACTTCTTTTCCTCTGCCTGCTGCAGTCTCTTCCTGCTTCCTCTTCTCTGCGTCCGTCTCTCTGCGCTCTCCCTCTCCCCTCTATTTTCTGCCCGTCTGCTTCCTCCCCTATCTTTCCCTCCTCCGCCTCTACTTCTTATTTTCATTGTATCATATTCCCCCTCCTTTTCTCTATTCCTTCTGTCCAACCATCATCCCACTATCCTCTTCTTTTATTATTTTCTATTTTCTGCTGTGCTCTTCTTTATGCCGTGTTGCTCTCTTTCCTCATCTTTTTATTTGTTTATTTTTTTTCTTTTCTTTCCACACCTCTTTGTCTGCCAGTCTGTCTTTTTTTTATTTGTTTCTTTTTCTGTTTTTCTTCTCACCCAGTCCGTCCCCTTTCCCATTGCTGCGTCACTTATTCTTTTTTTTTATTTATTTTTTTCTGCTTCCTTTCCGCACTGCCTCAATGCTCTCTCCACTCTGTCAGAATTCTTCCATGCTGTTTTTCCATTTTGTTTCCTGCCATCCTCTCTGTTATTCTTTGTCCGTGTCTTCACTTTTCTTCATTTTAATTGAAATTGATCCTAAAACACATTTAACTGCACAATAACACAAGGTAAGGTAAAATGCCATAATTTTAACACAAAAACATCACAAAGACTTTAGCAATAGATGGTATAAATGTATGAAATATATTTGTGATCAGTAAGGTTAGAACAAGGGGTTCTATTCTTGGTATCAACCAGTAACAAACCTCCACGTTTCCCTTCTTGTATGATGAGAGCAACGACACGTGCCAAAACCATGGATACACGAGTAGCAGCTCTTGAAGGTTCGGTTCAGGAAATCCAATCTTCTATCGCAACGATCGGATCGACAATGCAGAATGTGTCCACTGTAATCGCATCAATGGAGTCTCGATTCTCAGCCATGGAATTTCATTTTTCAGGCGCGGATCGTCCTCCTCGTGCTCATGCTGACCATGGTGATTCTGCAAATCAAATGGGTGGGTCTGAAGAAACCTTGTCTGATCCAATTGCTCATATGGGCCAGCGTTTTCCTCGTCAAGATTCGTCATTTCAACCCAGACCGCCATTGATCAAGCTTGAGTTCCCTCGATTCTCAGACGGCGATGATCCCTTGGCATGGGTTTATCGGGCAAAGCATTATTTTTATTATTTCGCGATTGACAATGCACAAAAGTTACGAATGGCTTCTTTTCATATGGACAATGAAGCTTTACAATGGTTTCAATGGCAGAACTGCATCAAGAACCACCCAACATGGAAAGATTTTGTTCATGTCTTTTGTAAAGAATTTGGGCCCTCTAAATTTGAAGACTTTACCGAAGCCCTAGTTCAATTGAAGCAGTTGGTTTCTCTCAAATAATACGTATCAGAGTTTCGTCGATTGGCGAATCGGACTACGGAGATAGGTCCAGTCATGCTACGGGGTTGTTTCATCGAATGACTGAAACCGAAGTTACGTCATGACGTCAAATTGCTTCGGCCATCTGATGTACATGAAGCAATTGCTCTAGCTTTCCAATTGGACATCAAACTATCAGATACCAAAGTTCGAAATTTCTCCAGAAATTATGCTTCTTCTTTCAGTAATGTTACAAACTCAAACGACCAATTCCAGCACCATGATCCCAAACGACTAGATATCCGCTTTGTTTCCTTATGCGAGTGTGTGACTTCAGGTGCCATCCAATACGGCGTTCCGACGATGTTGGTTAGCCGAGTCGACAACTCTTCAGTTGAATTGGCTTTGTAGACCGAGGTAGAGACCCCAAAATCGGTGAGCTTGGCCGACCCATCCGGATCGATCAAAATATTTCCTACCTTGATGTCACTATGGAGGTGGCCTTGATTGTGAAGATACGAAATGGCGTTTAACGTCTCTTTCAGCACGACAACAATGCAAGGTTTTGGTAATCTTCCCAGGAAAGAAGAGGAGATTATTGATTGTAGAGAGCCAACACACATGAACGGCATAACCACCCAAAGATGGCGGTAGACGGTGAAGGAGCAAAAGCGGAAAGAACATTGAGGTGGGAAAGAAGAGACAAAGTCGTGGTGTCGCATCAAATGTTGTCGAAATCGGCCCGGGATTGATCGCGGTCGATGAACTTGATAGCCATGATGGCAGAGTTCATAGGGACGCAGACGGCCTTAGAGACAACGGCGCTGACGCAGGATCCCATTTCGTCGAGGATTTGGTAGGAAGCGGGGTCCAACGAGAATGGTTTTTGATGGAGAAGATGAGTGGGTTGTGATGGTGAAGAAAAAGTAAGGTTTAAGCAGCAATCTTGTGTAAGGTTGATGGTGAGGTGGTGAGGGTGGCTTCGGGACGATGCATATGAATGCCTACTGCTACAGCTCTCTGTTTTCTAAGGCTTTCCTATTCCAGTTGGGGTGGCATTATATATTTTGTTATTTAAACAAACTCTTGATTCTATTTTGAGGGGTTTTTTGGGAGTTAGGATTGGGTGAAATAAAAGTTGGTTTAAGATAGAGCATCTCCAAAGGAGACGTCAAAAGATAAATATCAAATATTAATTTGATGGCTGATGTGGTAATATCAGATTTTCTCTTTTTCCAACCGATATGTTTCTTTGTTATAAATGATATTTGTAGGACCCATTTTAAAAAGAAATCAATTAAAATACATTTTCAACATCTATAATTGGTGCATTAATGGGACCCACACAATAAAATAATTAAAAAAAATTGACATCACATTTTCTCATATGTCAAATTTGACATATGAAAACTCGTATATCAATCCACATAGGATTGACATATCGGTTGGAGTTCGCTCCCACCTTCAAATTGGATTACATATCATTCCACCTTGAATTTAACATCTCCTTTGGAGATGGTCGTCAAGCATCAAGAGTGGAGTCTTAGGGTCATTGGGCGGTGTACCACCTTCTCGCACCCATGTTTGGCCTTCTATTTCCACTAGTCAATAAGCAAATTTTTGGAGCTGGTGAAAAAAAAAAAAAAAAAAAAAACTTCTAGACGAATGGTTAGTTGGTAAAAAGAAATAAGGAGGTATTGCTACGAATTGAACTTCAAGGGAACATACATCAGTCGATTATGAAGTCAGTGATTGAAACTTGAAACATGTAATCTTCCCTTGCTATATTAATTAGGGTTCAACCCCTTTAAGAAACAAGCCGAGCTTGAGCATAGACATGCTCAACTCATAAAGCATATGGGTGGCCCTTTAAAAAGAAGTTTGAAGAACATGTTATACAAGCGGACCATCTCATTGTTGTAAGGTGACTTGTACTGAATGAATTTCTTTTTTACCTCGTTTGAGCTCAGCTCAAAAAATAAACGAGCCAAACCAAGTTAACCTATTATGAACTTTTAACAAACCTAACTTAAACATGATAATACTCGCAACATTTATACCCTTAGTCAAACTTAGAGAGGTGATTTTTACACACTCTATTTAACTTCTCATACACACTCTTTATTTTTTGTCGTCAAATTGAATAAATCAACTAGGAGAGAGAGATATGATTAAACATGAGAGTAAAAGAAGCTAAAAAATGTGTGTTTATTATTTTCCTAAATTTATTGGACCATTAGGGTGATTTGGAAACATATTCTATTATTGATTAAATGAAAGAGCGATTTGGAAAAAGGACCTCCAGAACTTGGACTATGGAGATACATGTTCTTACCTATTAATGTTGCTGCCAAAACTTATTGGGCTTAGTTTATGGTAACTTTACTCTGATCACTAGTCAAAGACAATTTAATGGCGTTTCTTTCTTCGAAATTATGGCTCTATTCATGCATTCCTATTACTTTGGGGGCTGAAGGCTGAAGTAGAACTCTTAGCCAAGAGAAGAAAAGAGTATATCTTTTAGACACCCCTACATTTACAATATCCCAATGATTAAGAAGTAACAGAAGCAAAGAGTAGAAAAATAAAAACAGTTAGGAATCATATTATTAAATCAGAAAAATGTATACACATATATAGGTCATGACCTTGCTACATGAATATAATAGGTCGTACCCAGTGCACAAGGCTCCCGCTTTACGCAGGGTCTGGGAGAGGTGAATGTCGGCTAACCTTACCCCCATTTATGGAGAGGCTGCTCCCAAATCTTGAACCCGAGACCTAATAGAACCAAAAAAAATAGACAATGAGGGAAAATAAGGCAGATAGTAGGGTAACAGATAGTGGAATGCTTCCTTTGTCTTTCCTTATTAGCATTCCTTCAATAATAGGGTAGTTCATTACTATGACATAAAAGGCTATGAAGATTTGTATGAACATCTTGTCCAACTCCCCCACAAAGATCCCTCTAGCAATCCCCACAGCAAACGAAGCCATGTTCAAGATGACTAGGGCAACCATTGGAGCAAGAAATTGTAGTGATGTTTGGAAATCAAATACTCCCATATTGTAAAGCTTGAGTTGTTCAACGTCGTCGACTTTATTTGTTGGGAGAAACTGGCTTCTCTCATACCAAGTTTCTTCATGAAAGCATCCACACTACCATATAAGTGAGATGTGACTGACTTCATCATCCATATTCTCTGTTCATTTACCCAATGTCGAAATGTTGATCCTGTTGCTAGCACCTCATATAAATGTTTAGAGAGCAATGATAGGAATACAAATGAAAATACGATAAAATACGTATTTGAGACCTGCAAAGAGCAATAACATGATCGGCATGTTAGAATATCGGAATCATACTCCAAGGTGTGAATTACCTATAAGCACTCTAAAAAAAGGGTAATGCTTTCTTATGTACTTACGTTTGTATACAAGTACTTATATCGACAAACTGTGAAATTGAATTTTGAACCATAAATTTTGTCCATAATCAACCATAATAAATGGTTTACATTCATAATAATGGAAGTGAACATTTCCCTTGTTGCCATAAAAATTCTTAATCATATTTAAAGATATTTAACTATGTATAGTTATAATGAGAGGAAAACAAAATTTAATTACCTCGGGGTACAAAGGAATGCTATTGAGTAGACACACTTGAGGAATGATAGCAAAGCACCAGAGTGTCAAGAAATAGAAAATGGGTAAGAGAGCAATTTCTGCATAACACATGCTTTGAAGGAAAGTGTGGGTTTTGAAAGGGCCATATATAAGAGGACTGAACTTGGAGATAGCAACATCAACTAAGCCAGAGGAACCATCTTGTCCCTTGGACCAAAAACTCATCCAATTTGGTGGTGCCGCTACCCAAGAATTGTGGCCTTTTTGGATCACAAAACACTGAAATCCAACCTTTGTAATGCAAATGAAACCCTGTGAAGTAATCTTCCACCACTGAACCGTATAAGAAACCAACTTGCATGCCACAAATAAGAGTAAGATATCACCATTAGCATTAGAGGAATGCTAGGCTCAGTCACCTCCTGCGCAGGGTTATTATGATCTGTTAATACATTGCACGACCGACATGTATCAACTGCTCACAATTGACTAAGCTTACCATAATTATTTTAATAAATTTATCTTTCAATTTGGGAGTGAAATGTAAGCTTCCAATGGTTTAATTGTACTTGCCTCTTTACCCCATTTGGTGCCATCTTCATAGGCACAAGAGGCTAGTCGTGGGCTTTCATTTAGCTGTGCATTATTTCTCGGGATGAACATATGGTCAGGCTTGTTGATTTGGCGGAGGGATTTGATGAACTGCTTGGATGGACCAAAACATTGTCTAAGTTTCATTGCATCCCCATCTGAAAGCATATTATGATATACAACAGAGAAAAATGTCCACGAATTAATGAACACATATATCTATAGTCGATCGATACATCATCCAACAGGTATTGCAGAAAATTTGGTCAATTAAAAAGTATATATATGTAATTGACAAGTTCATAAATTTGATATATATGTTATGCTTATTATATATTAAACCCACTGTTCTAAAAATCCCCGCCTAGCGCTGCCTAGGCCCCGCCTAGGCGCTAGGCCCCAGCCCACCGCCTAGACCACCTAGGCATCCGCCTAGCCCGTCTAGGCACCCGCCTAGCCCGCCTAGGTTGCAACTCACTTAGACAAAAAATACATAACTTTCCTTTTGCATTTTGTTTTTTTCCAATAAATTGTAAGAGACTTGTTGCATACTTGAATGAACATACATTATATCCTTATTTCACATGTTTTCATTATGTTCCAATACTTCATGATATATATGCATTCTATTTTGTAGTTTATGATGAAATTATATATATTTTAAGTAGAAGCAGACACTTATTTACCTGAAATATGATAGATTTACTTAAATCCGCCTAGCCGCCTAAGCGCTAGGCCCCAGCCCGCCGCCCGACTAGCGCCTAGCGACTTTTAAAACCTTGATTAAACCTAATTAAGGTGTTTTAATTAAGACAATTTATATTTTACCTTCACTAATGGAACTTCCACATAACGCCACCCTCTTGATGTAGTAGCTACCACACACACAGGGCCCTCCAAGCCCATCATAACCTTGCCATTGCAACTATATATGTACAAGTGATCAAGACCAACTAGTCAAAGATTACTATATGATGTAAATAATACATTTACTTATCAATTAATTAATGTAAAGTTTGTCCTTGAGTTCTTACATACCGTAAATATTGATCTCAACTGACTGTCATAGATATCGTTGATACTGATGTTGTGAAATTTATGAGGGAATTGAACAAATGCTAGAGAGGGTGATATCTTAGGGTCAAGATGGAAGCACATTGCTTGCCGAGCCGAACTTGCATCATTGCAGTACATGTCACAATCTAACCCTAATATGTAAGGTGAATTGCTTATAACTCCCGACACACGTAGCTAATCAAAACAACGTCAATGTTCACTTGTCAAATCATGTAGCAAATAAGTATTATTTAATTAGACTGTCAATCTGAATCATTGATTAAACGAATTATTATTTTTGAACACACGACAATCAATTGACAGCTTACATAAGTACAGTATCTATGGTAATGGAGAGAATATAACTTATAATCGAATTACAAAAAAAAAAAAGAGAGATGCATACATACAAGAACATTGAGCGCCCCAGCCTTGAAATGATGGGGATGAGAGGGTCTTTTCTCGAGAAACATAAACAAGGAGAGGCATATTTTTTGCTTCATTTGTTTTAATTGCATCATCACCTTCACTGGACGTTTCTTGTATTACCTGCCAAAATTCAAGATATGGTTATAGGATTATTTTGTATTATATAATAAGAGATTTGTCTTTCCTTGCAAGAGTTTTTTTTTTTCTTTCTTTCTTTTTTTCTTTTTTGTTTTGGTTGGATTCTTATAGCAAGCCGGCCTGATGGTGAAAAAATTAATGGTATGAATGGTGTGGAGACCACTTTTTTCCTATTTGTTGGATATATTGGCAAATTAGGAAATAAATCGGAAAGTAGGCATGTGAGTTGTGAGGCAAGGCTTACTCTATCAACGTTGCTAATTACATGTTAATATGTTATGAGATAATAATTTGACTGTCGCAAATTAGAACATCAATGGGCAGAAGGATGTGTCAACCAAGGAGAGCGACCCGATCCAATAATATATGTAAATGAGATTTTAGATGCGGTCCTTAATTATGAATATTTTTTTACTAAAATCTTGTTGGTTTTCAATTTTTGATTGAAGTTCCTGAAATTAATGTGATAATTTATTTCTATGTATGTTACTATATTTTTTAAATTAAAAATTGAAATTTATAGTTGTTTATATTAATGAGATTTTAAATAAACAAACCATAATTTGTGTGATTAAAAATATTAAAATATAAATTATACTATTGTGTGTGTGTGTGTGTATTTAAACATGGGTACATTCATCAAAATTAACCAAAAAGTTATTGTACCAAAACATGGGTATATTCTTCAAAATCACAAAACAAAACAAAAAATATTAGGCTTAATAACATTATTAAATTTCTTCGATTAAACTTGACATAGATACATTCTCAAATCAAAGAAAAAAGAATGTACCCATATAAGTTTAAAAATGTTGTGGTCTATTTTTATCTGACAATATAGAGAGGGCCGGCGGCAGTGGAGAGAGATGAGAGAGATGTGTGTTTGTAGAATTGTAAGGGAATGTGTGTGTTGTTATCCCTCCTACATTGTGCTTTTATTTATAGTAGTAAGGGGAGAGAAGATATTCCTTCTCCTCCAAGTAATACAAGTTGTAATAGGAAAGGATAACTAGAATCAAATCTAATCTAGGATTTACACAATCATACTTATTCTAGGAATGTTTACAACACTCCCCCTTGAGTGTGCAAATACTTAAGGTAGATTCAGCATCATGCAGAAGTTGAGGAAGTCGACTCGTCGGCACTGATTCCAAGGAACAACGCTTATTCTCAATAAGATAGGAACTTGCATAAGTAGTAAGTCTCACTAAAAAAACCCTAAGGCTATGGCAAAAACCCAAGTAGGGACAAAATCCATAGTATAAGGAAAAATGCGTGAGAAATGCAAAGTCAAAAGAAACGTCTACAGGACGTCATCAGGGATATGACCAGCCCAAGGTGGGTGCCTCGTTAAAACCTAGTTAGGTAGCAAAAACCCAGTGGGAAAAATGCTCCTAATCGTAGGGAAAATGAGTACATTAAGATCAAGCAAGTATCCAGAAGATACTCCCCCTGAGTTTGACATAATTCCAAAGAGAAATAGCAAAGTTACAACTCAAAAAATTTACGCATACCAATTCCATGAACAAGCTTCTGAAACGTCACCTTCGGTAGTGATTTGGTGAAGAGGTCGGCCAGATTGTCTTGTGATCGGATTTGCGTGACTTCAATCTTCTGATGCTCTTATTGTTGATGTGTAAAGAAGAACTTCGGCGCAATATGCTTGGTGTTGTCTCCTTTGATGTAACCCTTCTTGAGTTGTTCGATGCAAGCTGCGTTGTCTTCAAAAATCGTCGTCAGGGCATTAACGGCGGGATGAAGATCGCAGGAGCTTCGAATATGGCCCATTACTGCTCTCAACCAAAAGCATTCCCGAGTTGCTTCATGTAAGGTGAGAATTTCAGCATGGTTAGACGAAGTGGCAACTAAGGTCTGTTTAGTTGACCTCCAAGATATTGCGGTGCCTCCAACGGTAAAGACATAACCCGTTTGAGAATGCGCCTTGTGCGGATCAGATAAGTATCCAGCGTTGGCATAACCAACAAGTCGAGAATCAACCCGATGAGCATAGGGTGCAGCATCACTCGAGGATTCGTAGGTATAGAATAAAACCAAATCCGTAGTACCCTTAAGGTAACGGAAGATGTCTTTCACGCCAGTCCAATGTCTGCGTGTTGGTGCATTGCTGTATCTTGCCAAAAGATTAACAGCGAAGGAGATGTCGGGTCTAGTGCATTGAACTAAGTACAATAAAGCGCCTATCGCACTTAGATAAGGAACTTCAGGCTCCAAAATCTCTTCATCATCTTTCTTTGGACGGAAGGGATCTTGCTTTGCATCTAGCGTACGAACGACCATAGGAGTACTCGAAGACTTCGATTTATCCTCATTAAAACGGCGCAACACCTTCTGGGTGTAGTTCGATTGATGTACTAAGATTCCATCCGAACAATGCTCTATCTCGAGATCGAGACATTATCGAGTCTTTCCTAGATCTTTCATCTCAAATTCCGACTTCAGGTGCGAAGTAATTCTCGCGAGCTCTTCAAGAGTTCCGATGAGATTCATGTCATCGACATATACTGCAACAATCGCAAATCCGGAATGTGACTTCTTAATGAACACACAAGGGCATATTTCGTTGTTCACATATCCCTGACTAGTCAAATACTCACTCAGACGGTTATACCACATTCTTCCGGATTGTTTCAAACCGTATAGTGAACGCCTCAGCCGAATTGAGAGCGTGTTCCGAGGTTTGGAAATATTTGAACCAGTCAATGTAAGTCCTTCGGGAACTTTCATATAAATTTTCGTATCAAGATCCCCATAGAGATACGCGGTTACTACGTCCATCAGCTGCATATCCAGTTTTTCAGAAATTACCAAACTGATAAGGTATCGAAAAGTAATCACATCCATAACGGGTGAGTAAGTTTCGTCATAGTCAATCCCGGGACGTTGTGAGAAACCTTGTGCTACAAGACGAGCTTTGTAACGCACAATTTCGTTCTTCTCATTACGCTTCCGAACGAAAACCCACTTGTAGCCAACGGGCTTCACATGTGGAGGAGTAGGAACTACAGGTCCAAACACCTTACGTTTCGCAAGTGAATCAAGTTCGACTTGGATTGCTTATTTCCAGTTTGACCAATCAGCTCTATGTCAACATTCATCAATGGAACGCGGTTCAATGTCATCGCTTAACATGATCTCAGTAGCTACTGCAAATGTTAATGCATCGTCGACAATTATCTCATTTCTACGCCACACATCATCTAAGCTAGCATAATAGACCGAAATCTCACGATTCTCGGGAGGAGGATTCGTCTCTTCAAGGACGCTTCCATAATCTAGAATTTCCTCATGAGTTGGGTAAAATGAGTAAGCGATAGTCGGATTCACGGTAGGCTCTTTAGGACCTTGTGTCGTGGTTTTCCTCTTTCGAGGGTGTGAATCATTTGAACCAAGGGGTCTGCCACGCTTTTGTGTAAGGGCAGATGATTGGCTAGCCGTTAATGTACGTGGATCACCAGAATTAACGTCCCGGGCTTCCAGGAGGGTAGTCTGTCGTACATTTGGTACATCTATCTTTGCAGGCGTATTCGCAGCTGGAATATGTGATCTTGACACGCGCGCTAGATCGGTGAAAGCATCTGGCATGCTCTGAGCTATGCTCTTGAGATCTAATATGCACTGCACTTCAGCTTCAAACTGAGCGGTGCGGGGATCTAAATGAGACAAAGTGGGAGTCGTCCACGATAATTCACGTCGTTCATTAGGAACGTTGACGTTCTTATCTCCCCCTAACGGCGGGAAGACTGTCTCATAGAAGTGACAATCCGCAAAACGAGCGGTAAACAGATCACCTGTCAAAGGTTCTAAGTAACGAATAATCGAAGGAGAATCATATCCGACATAGATTTCCATCATTCGCTGAGGCCCCATTTTTGTACATAAGGGTGGCGAAATCGACACATAGACCGCACAACCAAAAACGCGCAGATGCGATATGTCGGGTTCGCATCCAGTGACCAACTGAAGGGCACTAAATGGTTGTGTCACAACAGGCCTCAGGCGGACCAACTTTGCTGCGTGCAATATTGCATGGCCCCAAGCAGCGATCGGGAGCTTGGTACGTATGACCAATGATCGAGCAATCATTTGTAAACGCTTAATGAAAACCTCTGCCAGGGCGTTTTAGATGTGCACATGGGGTACATGATGTTCAACTTCAACCCCAACCGACATGCAATAGTCATCAAAAGTTTTAGATGTGAATTCTCCAGCATTATCCAATCGAATAGATTTGATCAGATAATCAGGGTGGTGAGCCCTAAGCTTGATAACCTGAGCCAACAGTTTGGAGAATGCAGCGTTCCTTGTAGACAACAAGCACACGTGTGACCAACGTGTAGAAGCGTCAACCAAAACCATAAAATATCTAAATGGTCCGCAGGGAGGTTGAATCGGTCCACAAATGTCCCCCTGAATCCGTTGTAGAAAAATGGGAGGATTCGAACGAATCTTGTCATAAGAAGGCTTAGTAATAAGCTTTCCCATAGAATATGTTTGACATGCGATGTCATAGATCGAACCTAAGCTTCGGGTTAGTGGATGCCCGTGTGAAGTTTTGAGGATACGGCGCATTGCTATTCGTCCAGGATGTCCCAAACGATCATGCCAAAGTGTAATTTCGTGCGCGGTCCCTGTGGTAGGGGCCGCCACATAGTGGCATTCGATGGGGCGTATGGTCGTAGTATACAGACCACTCGGGTTACGCTCCATCTTCTCTAGAATACGCTTCTGGCCATATTCGTAGGAAGTTACGCACAGAAATTCAACTCCGTTTTCTACGTGGGTTTCAGCATGGTAATTGTTATCTCTAATGTCCTTGAAACTTAGTAACGTTCTTCCGGAACGTGGAGAATAGAGTGCCTCAGCAATGGTCAAGATTGTACCATTGGACAACATTATACGTGTCTTACCGTATCCTTCTATCAGGTTGGATGGGCCTGAGAGAGTTGTCAGAGGTGCATTCTTAGGTACGAAGTTAGTGAAATAGATGCGTTCACACAAAACAGTATGCGTGGTTACACTATCTGCCAGACCACTAACTTTCCCACTAGTCATACCTAGAATGAAAAATTAATTTGAATTGGTCACATGCATAAAAGTTTATAAAAACAAGTATCAATTCAAAATCATTTCATTTATTCAAGGATTAAAACTGAATATCCAAAATAAATCGCCAATTAATAATCCAAAAACATAAAGGAAAATTGCTCAAAATCAACCAAAAACAAGGTGGGGTGCGGCCACTAGGTGGAATTCGGCCCCAATTGTCTTATTTCAACTAAAAAAGAAGTCTATGTCTAAGATTCTAATCTTCCATAGGAGTGGTATCCTCCTGAAAGTTAGAAACCTCCATCTTTGTAGTCTCCGGTTCATCCACTTGCATGAAGTTTGATTCAAACTTCTTACGACGAGAATGATATTCATCTACAACCTTCTTGGGAGCACGGCAAATACGGGACCAATGGTCCTTTGAACCACAACGATAACACATATCGTCATTCATTGTGGCAAGTGCTTTGCCCTTATTCTTGAAGTTCGGGGCCTTAGGAGCGAGGTTGGGCGCTTCTGGGCTTTGTTTCCTCCCTTGGATGAGCCTTGACTCTGTTGACCTTGGTGGGATGGCTTCTGGCCACCCTTACCACGCCTCTTTTGGCGTTTTGGGTGCTGATTAGTGCTATAATGTGTTTCAGGCACAGCAGTAGCCCTAGTAGGTCGAGCTTGATGATTCTTCATCAACAGCTGGTTCTGCTTTTCAGCAAGAAGTAAAACAGAGATCAAATCCGAGAACTTAGTGAACTTCTGAGCTCTATATTGTTGCTGCAGGACAATATTAGAAGCAAAGAATGTCGAGTAGGTCTTCTCCAGGAGATCCTCTTCAGTCAAAGTTTCATTGCAAAACTTGAGAAGTGATCGGATTCGACAAACTTCAGAATTATATTCATTCACAGACTTAAAGTCTTTGGAAGCGCAAGTGCTGCCAGTCGTGTCTTGCTTCAGGCAAGAATATGTCCTTTTGGTGATCGAAACGATCAACCAAAGCGACCCATAGTGCACGTGGATCCTCCTCAGCAAGGTACTCAGTTTGCAGAGCGTCATGAATATGTCTTCGGATGAAGATCATAGCAGTGGCTTTTTCAGCTTCGCCAACAGGTTCAGTTGTTGCTTCTTCAATAGCAGGACGCAAGTTCTTGGCAGTGAGGTGGAGCTTCACATCTTGAACCCACTTGAGGTAGTTCCTTCCAAAGACCTCCAAAGCGGTGAAGTCGATTTTGTTCAAATTCGACATGTTCCTATCACAAATAGATGGACAAGATGTGGTTAGTGTAATGGAGAAAAATCAATCCATTCACATAGGAGCAGAACATACAGGTTCTAATAGACATGTATTGGTTTAATTTTGCATGAAAAACTTCGGGTTTTCATGGGTGATATGTTTAAGAGAAAACTTCAGGTTTTCAAACAAGGCATGTTTATAAGAAACTTCGGGTTTCAAAGTAATTATGAACTTCAGGTTCATATACTCCTGTAGGCAAACACAAATATATATGCAAACAAATATGCAACAAGTATATGCAAAAAATATTGTATAATTATAATTGAATTAATTTATTTGGTCTTCGGGGCCAAATTAAAGTGTGGGTGAAAATAAAAAAACCCATATTATTTAAAAATAGTAAATAATAAAATCGCAGGGCCTAAAAATATAAGCTGAGAATCCCCGGGTGTAGGCTGCAGGCCCACGGGGTGAGAAGGGAATGGGCTGCTGCAGGCAGACCCCCCCAAAAAAAAAATTTCTTTCCGCGCGCGGGCCACTTCAGGTTGGCCCAAAAAAAACAAAAAAAAATCTTTTTTTTTGATCTGGGCCGCAGCAAGCGAGCCCAGGAAATAAACAAACAAACAAAAAAATTTTGTCTTTGCGGGCTGGGCCACTGCAAGCGAGCCCAGCAAAAATTTGTTTTTTCCATATGGGGCTGAGAGACAAAGCCCGGATAGGGCTCGGGGAAAGGTCCAAAAAAAATCCCAGCCGTGCTGGGTGTGCTTGGCAGGGGAAGAAAACCGGAAAAAAGTGGACGGCGCCACTGCAGGTGGTCGTGTCGAGGTTGTTGGAGCTCAGAGTGAGTCACGGTTGTCGTGGACAACCACGGAGATAAGGAAATCTCAACGTATCAACAACTATAAAACCCTAAAAAAATTGAAATCGAATTAAAAAAATCCGACGAGATTCCGGTGAATCTCAGTTCAATTTGAAATGTGGGACGACTTCTAGTCGTCGACGACGTGAACCAAAGGTTCAAAGCAATGGCTGGAGGCCATGCCGTGGCCAATGGACACCATGAAAGGTGTCGGGGTTGGTTTGCTGGGGACGCGATGGGCGTCGGGCTCTCGGCTCGGGAAAGCATGGGGATGCAGGCTGCAGGCCTTGCAAGAAGATGGGCTAGCCATCGCAGGCTGCGGGCCTGGTTGCGTTGTAGCCTTGCGTGATGCAAAGGCACGGGTTCGAAGAACCCTAATTCCCCAATTGCAAAAAAAAAAAAAAAAAAATTTAATTCAATTATATTATATGCATGTATAATTCTAATGAATCACATATTTACGTTGATGCATATGCAAATAATAGTTTCAATGCATGTACATATGTAAGATTCAATTCATGGCAAATATCAAATTCACATAATTGGAGCAATTTTGGTTATGAAGCATACACAATTTATGTAGAATCTAAAATACGTTAAACGTAAAGTTGGGTCATGCATCATGGTGAATGTTCATGCTATCAGGGCTTGCAAAATATCGAGTTAAAAGTCGTTGTTTGGAAAGAACCTGATTGCGCGATGATATGGATGAACTGGTTTGATGCAGAAAAAAAATCTCCAACGTCAGATTCCTAAGCGCAGCGGTAGGAGCGTGCTGATAACGTGTTATGGTCTATTTTTATCTGACAATATAGAGAGGGCCGGCGGCAGTGGAGAGAGATGAGAGAGATGTGTGTTTGTAGAATTGTAGGGGAATGTGTGTGTTGTTATCCCTCCTACATTGTGCCTTTATTTATAATAGTAAAGGGAGAGAAGATATTCCTTCTCCTCCAAGTAATACAAGTTGTAATAGGAAAGGATAACTAGAATCAAATCTAATCTAGGATTTACACAATCATACTTATTCTAGGAATGTTTACAACAAAAAATAGATTATAAAAAAATTAAATAGATTATATATATATATATATAAAGGTACATTTTACATATAGCAACTTGGTATATTTAAGAATGAGTACATTTTAAGATTAAAAATTTGAAAAAATTACATGAATGGGTACATATAAGATTAAAAAATTGAAAACATTTTTTAAAAAAGCTAATGGATACAAACTTATTCTAATTTTTTTTATATTTATTTTGGAAATGTTTTGAATTGAAAATTAGTTAGGAGTTTAATAAAGGTGTGAGTATTAAAATTCTAAATCAATTATTACTTTTTATTTTAAAAAAATTATGTAAGCACAGCTCCATTCGGAGTCCTGGATATTCCGGGTCAAGGTGTGTCAGTTATTACATTAATGTTAGGGACTTGGATCAAAATCTGAAAAATAATAAGGTTTCAGTCAATGAACATTAGTAACTAAGAATCAGATACTAATTTTTTTCTATATTTAATGTCATGTGAAGGGAAATTTACACATGACATTACGTAGACCGGAATGCCATAGTGGCGGTAAACCATGATAAGTTCTTTTTTACCACCAAGCTTGAAAGCTCATTGGTAATTTATTTTATGTCTAAATAATTTGTAAAACTAAAGTACTAATCAACAAACAATGTGATATGTAGGGTACAAAATAACAATACCTCAATGACTGCAGAGTGATCTCGACGCATGTTGCTCCTGGCGTCCTCAATCCTTGCATTTTCTGTTACTCTTCTCTTAAACACCTCGTATGCCTCCTGCAATCAAATCTTTACCATCAGCTTTGTTACTGAGAAATATTATACTTATATATCTTCAAACATGAGGAATTTGTTTTGAGAAATATTAATTGCGAAAAAAAAAATCATCATGCACTCATTTCATGCTCTTTTTATCATTCTGATCATTTTAAGTATCTTCTCTAGAGTAGTATATTTATCATCTATTTGTATCATCTCTCTAATAGATGTAAAACCCACCAACATATGTGGGTCTCATCTCTATTAGAAAGATGGTACAATTGATGGTAAAAAGTAAAACAGATGGTAAGAATAACATTTCTCGTGTATGAACTCACTACCCCCGGAATCACCATCCTCATTAGGGGTGGAAAAAATTCCCAAAAATCCTGAACCGAACCGAAAAAATCCCAATCCCAAACCAAAAATTTCCCAAACCGAAATTCCCGAAATTTTTGGGATGCTATCCCGAACCGATCCCGAAATTTTGGCACGGGATTCGGGATTGACTTCTCGATATTTCGGGAATCCCATGCCGAACCGAAAATATATATTATTAATTATTATATATATATATACATATATATTATTCTTTTATAATTGATTATGGACTTTATGGTTTGAACTTATTACAGAGAATGGAATATGTTATGAATTATGATATGACGTAAGCAATGTTGTTTTATTTATGTCGAAACCAAGAAAGTTGGATCAGCTAGTTACTATGCTTGAGTCTCTTTACTCTTTATACCAATAAATGGAGCTTGTTGGCATTGTAAATATGTATTTTACATATGCAAATTACTGGTAAATGGACAGCAAAGCAGCGCAAGGTAGCAATGCTTGTCAGTCAGGTTAAGAGCCTTCAAGCAAAGTTTACAGTTTGCAATCCAATGCTTGTGCCCCGATATGAGATTATATTTGCATTTAAACTAGCAAGAGATGCAATAGATTCTCAGTCTCAGACTAACCAGCCTGCACAATCTAACAATTCATTCAATGAGTTACATAAGCATAATATGTCAAATTTTAGTCCAAAAGCCCAAAACCATTTCGGGATTCCTGATTTGTCCCGAAATCCCGAAACTATTTCGGAATTCCCGAAAATTGGGATTCCCGAAAATTTGGTTTGGAATCGGTATTCAAATTGGGATTCCCGAAAAATTTGGTTTGGGAATCAGGACAAGGGTTTCGGTATGGGATCATCCTCATGGCCATCACCTTCTCCTCCTGCAGAGAAATAAGCCTCCGGAGCCGTACACTTGATCCCATACCTCCGACAAAACGGAAGCCACCACTTTGCAAACCTCCAAGCCTCTCTCATCCCATTCAAAGTCACGGCAGCACAGCCGTCATCAGATAGATACACATGAAGCTTTTCCGGTGGATAGTCTATTGCCATGGCTGATAACACCGTGTTCATAACCATCACGGTTGGCTCCTTCTCCGGATCCGCGGTGCAAATTAACACGTCAATTGCCGGAAGTTTGTCATTCTCCGGCAGCCTCTCTGGGAACACGGTTCGCAAAACAGTCCGCCAGCGAAATGATTGGCTGAGGAGCCATTCGAAGGCAAGGAGGATTTCCGAGGCAAAGACAAGAAGCCATGGTAGGGTTGTGGCTTTGGTATTGGGGTGTGGGAAGAAGAAAGAGGCTCTATAGTAAAACAAGAAGGCTAGAGCGTTTGAGTGGACGAGGATATGTGTTCGGTTGATGAAGTTTGAAAGCTTGTGGACATGGCAGAGATGGAGAGGGAACTTAGGATTCTCCATAGATTCTTACGTGGCAATTATTTGTGTTGTAGCACTCAAGCATGATAACAAGCAACACCCTCCAACTCCTTTTAAAGGACCAATAACACTGTCTACTAAATAATTTAATAAAATTAGAATAAAATTTTAAAAGTATGTTTCTTTTTCTGGATATAGCAATTAGTATGCGTTTTGTGTTTTCTTGGTCACCACGATGGCCGCCGGTGGCTGACTTGTGTGATTAATATAGGAATGAGGACGACTGGTTACTTTAATTATACCTATTAACCTTTGTTTTTAAACGGTTCTAGCAATAGAGTAAAATAATTTAAACATGTGAAGTTCCTGTACAAAACGTAATAAAAAATCGACCTTATATGGTTAATTAATGGTAAAACTCTTTAACTACATAAATTAATGGGAGACTTTGGATGCGGTCCTCAGCTATGAATATTCTTTGATTGAAATCTTGTTGATTTTTAATTTTTTATTAAGGTCCCTGAAATTAATGTGATAATTTATTTTTATGTACGTTAATATATTTTTTTAAATTAAAAATTAGAAATTTTAGTTGTTTATATAAATAAGATTTTAAATAAAAAACCATAATTTGTGGGTTAAAAATATTAAAATATAAATATACTATTGTGTGTGTGTGTGTGTGTATAAACATGGGTACATTCATCAAAATTAACCAAAAAAATTATTGTATCAAAACATGTACATTCTTCAAAATCACAAAAAAATATATATATATTTATATATTAGGCTTAATAACGTTAGTAAATTTTTTCGATTAACCTTGACATGGATACATTTTTAAATCAAAGAAAAAAGAATGTACCCATATAGGTTTAAAAATGGATTAGAAAAAAATTGAATAGATTTTAATTTAAAAAATGGTACATTTTACATATAACAAATTGGTATATTTAAGAATGAGTACGTTTTAAGATTAAAAAGTTTTACATGAATGGGTACATATAATTAGCATGGGTACATTTAGCAAAATAAAAAGTACAAATAAAAAAATATATGGGTACAAATACAAATAAACTTTAAAAAAATATGGGCACAAAAAGAAATTAATATATGGGTACAAATTAAAATTGAAAAGAAAATTGGTAGAAATTAAAAAAAATTACAAATTAAAAATGGGTACAAACTAAAACTAAAAATATATGATAAAAAATTTAGTCATAAATATAAATATACTAATTGTAACATTTTTAACATTAAATGAATATATTTAGAAATAAAAAAATATTTTATTATGAAAATAATTAATGATGTTATTAATACTCAAGGACCTTGAAAAGGAATGGGATTTTAATCAATGGAGTAGCAAAAATAAAGATGAAAACCTAATTTCTCCTAAATTAAATATAGTGATTCCTTTAACTTGTAGTCATGTGATATTTTTTTTCTTTTTTGTTTCAAAGTACTTGTCATATGTTGAATAATAGTAGTTGACGTCTAAGAATTGGCTACAATATTTGTGATTAAGTAACATGTTCTTGAAACTCGAAGGTATGACCTGTTATCGGATATTTATAAAGGGAAAATGTAGGTAATGTAAAGCAAATTTTGACTAAAAAGACTAAAAGATATCTTAAGAGCTCCCTATAGAATTCCTACTCGAATCATACTCTCTAAAACGATTCTGACCAAGACAAATGGAGCAGTTGGCGGTACACATCGGTTCATGTCAAAAATGTATGTGCAACCACGAAGCTTCCTGCAGGCTGCATGCAATTTTTCAGATTAGTCTCCTAAAAGAACAAGTGATTATATGAGTGAGTGGTGCCCAAGACTCTATCATCTCCTGGAAAACATCTTCATTTTTTGGCATGTTTGATTTGGACATGGCAGAGATTAATTTGTGTTGAGCCTAAATAAACTTTGTGAAATCAAAATGGTTTTGTTTGTATCTCAAAATATGATGATAAGGAATAATCTTTCTAGGTCAGGATTTGTTAGCTTGTAGTTTTTCTTGGGTTCATCCCTTTTTATCCAATATTCATCCCTTTTTATCCAATATTAACATATATTGTTCATGTCATTTAGTACATTGGTTTACTGATATTTCTTTCCACTTATAAGTAGAAAGGTTGGTTTAGCTCTCGCGCAATTTCAATACCATATTATTAAGACAATCCCCTTGTGTAATTTAATTCAATCATTTGTTTTAGTGTAAATAATATTGTTATATTAATCTCATATATTTCCTGAAATCATTCTTTTATGCTCCACAAGATACAGAGAATGCATGAGACTTTTCTGAAAAAAAAATCTTAAGATATATAGTTCTAGTGCAAGTTTAATACCAAATTATTATGACAATTCCCTTGTATAATCTAATTCAATCTTTCATTTTAGTTCAAATAATATCATTATATTAACCTAACATTTATTGTTCCTAAAAGCATTCTTTTATGCTCCAGAAGAGACAGAATGCATGAGAGTTTTCTGGAACAAAAAAATCTTAACATATATAGTTTTCTAGGCAATTTTGTGCAGAGATTTATGGGACCACGAGATTCCATGCACCTGGTTAAAACTTTATAGGGGCTTGGACTAAGAAAATATACCACTTTTGCTTGGACCAAATAAGAAAAATACTTTTTCTCGAGCAGGTAAAATAAAAAATTGATTCACTTGAAGCAGTTTTACAGAAATGGTACATATCACTCATTGATACGTAAGGCACAGCTCAATTCTTATTTGATAACTTTGCACATGCATCTCGAAACAGGTAGGAAGAAATGATAGAAAATAAAATATAGCGATAGTCAAGGATATCCTACTCAAGTCAGTGTTCAATTTAATCAATCAAAAGAGGTGAGGGCGCTCTTTTTTTCTTTCTTTTTTTTTTTTTTTTAACAATACTTGCCTACTTAAAGATAAGGAGTTTTTACTCAAAATTTCTCAAAATTGTTCGTTGTCAATTTATAAAACTTCGTGTTTATAATCAGAACCGTTCATATTACAAATCATCCTATAAAGATCGTCTTTGCAAAAAATCAATTAAAAGTAAGGTCGTTTAGTCATCAAACTAATTAAAAACAAATAAACGGTATTGGTAAAACCATTACAAACCATCTATGTATTCGCTACAATAGATTGACTAAACAACCTTAGTTTTAATTTATTTTTTGCAAAGATGATCTTTACATTGTAATTCATAATATGAACAGTTCTAATCATATGTGATTAAAATACTAAGAGTTTTGAGTATGAGTTCCTACTCATCTTTGAGTAGCCAAGTATTGTTTTTTTTTTTTATCAAAGGGGACTTGTAGCTTAAGTAAATTTTTGTTTTTGTTTTAGGAAAATTTAAGTAGTTAAGATGTTTTATGAAAATTAAAGTAGTTAAGACCATAAGAGTATTTATGTAACTAATTTAGTGAATTCCTCCCTTAATTAATGAGTGTATTTTTTTGGCTCACTCTCTAAAAATGAAGGTGATGCTCACCATTGGTTATCGTTAGATTAGTTTTGTTTAATTAATCTAAGACATGAATCTTGAAATTTAAACTAATCTAACAAAAACCAAGA